TTTTTATATAATATATTCTTAATAATTTTTTTAATAAAAACTTTCTTAATAAAATTAACTTTTTAACTAAACAACTTAAGGTTTTCGTGTGATGTGCTCATTATTTTTTTTTAAATGATTAATATACCTTTTGATTCAACACATTTTACAACACACTCGTTAAGAAACTCTTATATTCAAATTTGAATTTATGACGAGAATTGACAAATTTTAATAGTTGAATCAGAGTGTGTTATACAGTGTGTTAAATCAGAAGGTGTATTAATAATTATCTTATTTTTTTAAGTGTTAAAATAATGTTAAATTTGATATATATTTTTATTTTATTATTTTTTATAAGATAGTTTTTAATTGGTTACTCATTCATAAAATATAAACCTTGCTTTCTCTTGTGCTTCATAAGTTCGTTTATAAGATTGTAAGTCCTTAATCTATGAAAACAGGCTTCCCTTATAGATGTCGTACAGCTTTTAATGAATGAAATATTTGTAGTATTACGTTTAAAAAGGTATACTCGTGAGAGATGTCTTTATATATCATTTGACTGCTTAGGGTTGGAGCTAGAAAATATAAAATATTTCTACAAAAATTAATCCCAATGTAACAATTTAATCTAGGATAAAATACTAATTAACGAACCTTATCATTCATTCCTGATACAGGAAAGGAGTATCCTAGACGTGAAGAAATGGCAAAAGCGTAATGCTTTGATTTTGGTCTCATTTGGTCTCCTTTTCGTCCTTGTGATCTTACCGGGAGAGGCGTAAAGAGACCTATTTATAATCCTTTGGCGGCGTTTTTGGATAAAATGTTGGAGGGAAAGCTTTCTTGCCATCGGAAGATCAGCGTCGGCAAGGTTTCTAGCTTGCAGCTTGCATGCTACAGAATCAAGGTTGGTCGGATAATGTGGCGTTCTTGCTTCTGTTTCCGGTTCTTCATCTGATATAGGCTTTAATAAAGAGCTTTCTCCAGCAAGAAGCATTATGGCTTGAGCCTGCAATGGTGATCTCAATAATAGGCTGCCAAAAGATTCATAACTTGTCAATGGAAACATTGTCATACTCGTTAAGTTCTTTCACAACCTTTTAAAATTCTAATTTGGAGATTTCGTGTTTAAATCTAGTATCATGATTATCAAAAAGATTCATACCTTGTCAATGGAAACATTGTCATACACATTAATAGTTCCAGCATGGAAGATTGTCAGCTGTCCTTTTGAAGGCTTCTCATCTGTTGAACTTGATTGCATTCCATCAAGCCTGTTAGAAAAATAATGGAATAAGAAATCAATTTTCCAGAGGGACAAAAATGATATGCCCCCAAAAAAATTCCAATCGTAGAAACATACCCAATTCCTGGAAGCAACTTCTGTTCCAGAAGAGAAGCACGGCAGCTGAGGTTTTTGCTGCGCATTAGTGGCACCAGGCCTCGTGGTGGAGACCTTTTCTTGATGATTGCTTCTGATTCATCCATGTTGGTTTTTCCTCTGATGCTGTGTTGTGCCTTTGATAGGAGATATTTCCGAAACAGGTCAATTGCTTGAAACATGTCATCATTAATGATTCCATTCTCAAATGGAGCATCTTCTATCTTCATGAAATACTTTGTGCTGGTGGACATTTTGATGCCTAAAAGAGACGAGAAACCTCAAAAACCTGTTAATAAAGAAACCTGTTGATATCAGGATTTGTGCTGCGTATGTATGAAAAAAAAAACCCTCTATGAAGTACATTGAAACCAAAGGAAACTTGAGCAAGAAAGAAGAAATTTTCGGACTTCAGGTCTTAAAAATAGGTGGTTACATATATTACAAAGAGATTGGAAATGACGCCAGGGGAGAAACAAGCTGAAGAGGTCTCGATGCATTCCACAGAAAAACAAACTTCATGTGGATGTCCTGAGGCTGGGAGCTGGTACTGTCACAGCAGAGTACATGGTTTCCTTGCAAGCAATCTATAAGAATAAATAAGTCTCATCTCCAATCCAATAAAAAAATGTGTCTATATAAAGAAAATGGTTAGGTAATACATATCAGGTATTGCAAAGGTAATGATCTTTGTATTTGTCTTGTGTTCACAACATAAATGAGATGTCGAATTTTCTCTATATATGTTCATCTAGTAAGAAAAATCAGCTGGCCGGGATAGAAGCCTAACACTAAGACTTCTACCTACTCTGTAGTCTGTGTCCTGAAATTGTTCTCATTCAAAGTTAAAATTGTAAACTGCGACAACTTAGAGCTGTGGGACAGTCGTGAAGAAGGATTAGCAACATTAGAAGAGGAATGCTTCTGTTTTCTGGTTCAGGAACCCGAGGAAATGACAACAAAAACATCATTGAGTGACCAGTTTCTTTGTTCTGATTTATTTGCAGGGTTAATTATGGCTTGCTCTGTGTCTGCAAGGCGATAACCAATGACAATCTCTTTTCTTTGGCGACCACGGATCATTATGTCATAGAAACAAAGCTCCTCCTGGGCAAGTAAGTAGAATTCTGCTGGTTTGATACACATCTCATTCCCCTGCCAAAATGAATGAGTTTAATTCTAATTATAACTCCGAAATTGAGAGCTATACAGGAGACGGGAGAAAAGTAGTATACATTTTGTACCTTCTCTGCAAACAGTTCCTCGAGGACGCGGTTAATTTGCTTGTCATAAGCCACCATTGCCAAAGCCATACTTACCAACTCATTTGATAGCACATAATCACTGATTCTGGAGACAGATACTAGGTTTCTTGTTCTGGAATCCAGAATTTCACTAATGATTATTGACTTGTCTGAAGCTTGCTGCATTTCCCGAATCCAAGAGCTGTGACAGTATCCAGAGAACCGTAAAGAAGTTGATTTTGAATCTTTGCAAGGGAGACGTTTTGACTGCAATAAGTTAAGCTCCAGGCAGTGTCAGAAATTTGATATATAAGGTATATGATGCTGCTTCTAAAAAACTTGTAGGCAATCCAAATGTCACCAGAAACAGTGTGGACAAAAATACAAGAAATTAGAAATCAAGGATGTCGATTCTGCAAGCCGTATGGAATCATGCATAACATGCCTAAGATTTACCTGTATGTCTCGAATAAGGAGAAGGGTTGCAAGTGATCTTGAGTCAGAATGCACAACAGAATCCTCTAGTGACTCGTCTGCAAGAATTAGTATCTGTCTATTTAGAGTTAGTAATCAGTAACCTTAACTTGGGAGTGAAGACACAGGCAGCAGCTGCCAAGGCATAAGAGAGGAACAAAGAGAGATAGAGAGAAATCAACTTACAGAGTCAAAGGTCTCCAGAGGAAGATTCTCTAAATGGCGTCTAATGACAGCATTTCCCACACGGTGGACAAGTTTTATGTTCACTAATCCAGAAATTTCAAGTCCACCATCAATCAGCTTCCTCTCTCTTTCTTGTAAAGGAACCTCATTAAACATCCACAGCTCTGACCCTG